ACTACCTTAATTACTCTGCTCTGCGGCCTTGGGAAGAGGGCAGTCACAACCCATTTCACAGATGAAGACAAAGATCTACCCCAGAACACAGAGTTCCTGGGAGACGCAGGTCCGGAGGTGATACTCCTGACAGTGCCCTTGAACCCTGAAAGAGGCACAGCCTAAGGGCTTAAACAGCGGACATCACGGTTGCCAGCAGTGTGAGCCCAGATAAGGTGCCTCAGTTTCCCCACCCGCCCAGTGTGTTCTTGGGGTTTGTTTAGAAGATTAAATGCGTGACAGCGACAAGCTTGGGGCTGGGGTGACTTGCAGGAGGAGTGAGAAACGAGGATGGGTCCGTGAGCAGAGGCTCGCTCTCCAAACCCTGCAGTAGCCCAGATTCTGAGCAAATGGGCAGGGGCCTGTGTCGCTGTCTCGCCGCAGGGCGGTGGGGGGGGGTCCGGTGCTGGACCATGCTTCCGTGTTCTCACGGAGGTCCTCACGCGCTCCGGAGCGGCGAGTGCGCGCCTTCTCCAAGCCTTACGGTAAGCGTGGCGCGCTGAGCAACCACGTGGCGGCGGAACCGAGGCCGGGCGGGAATGTGCGGAATGTGCCGCCCGGCCCGGCGCTGCTCGGGAGCCAAGACCCAGGTTCCCGCGGCGCGCGCCCTTGGCTCCCGTCTCTCCCTAATCGGACCGCACCCCCAGCCCCTGCCGGATCGCCCGGGACTCGTGGGAGTAGGTCGAGTCCCGCGCAAGCAAGCCCCCTGGCGGGGTTTGGGGACCGAGCGCGGCCCATCGGGTTCCTCGGACTCCGCACGCCCAGAACTCCCCAGAGGGTCCAAACCCGCGGCCGCTGCCACCAATCCAGAAGTCACGAGGCGAGGGGACCTAAAAGCAGGGGTGTAGGGTGTTAGGTATGCCACCCCTCTCCCTGCACCTGGAAAAGAATTTCCTTTCCTTTTTCCTCTTGGCAAGTGTCTGGAGCCCCAGAACTCGGAGGTTCCCCATAATAAAGACACGGAACGTCCCTCCGGCCATCCCCCTACCCCCACCCCAAAGGCCAAAGCGAAGGATGGAAAAGCTCTCGCTTTCGGGCATTCCAAGGGCACAAAAAGCAGGCACGAGGACGTGGTCACATCCCGAACACAGCCTCCGGGAAAGCGCGGGGATGGGGAGCGAGTGACCAATCCTCCAGGCGAATGAGGGGGCGTCGAGCCCTAACCCGGGGGAGGGGGGGCGGGGAACATTGCGGGAGCCCAAAGGGTCTTAGTACGGGTCCTTCTTGGGGAAAGTCCGGCTTCAGCGAGCCAGCGGGCTGGGTACCGAGCCCCCCCACCCACCCACGCGAGTCTCTGCAGGGGTGCTCCGCGCGCTCGCCGGGGGCGGGGTCTGGTCCTCCTAGGGTAGGCCGCAGCCTAGCTTGGCCCAGGGAGACACGGATGGGACTTGGCCTCCTAGGTCATTACCCCCCCCCCCAACCAATTTCTTTGCTTCGGTTGGGGGTGGTTATCTGCTCAGTCCGGGCGCCCATTCCACGGCACTTGGCACTTGGCTAGAGGCCAGGGGCCTGAGCCAAGAGGCCAGGGAATTCCTAGCGAATTGGGGGATTTCATATTGCTCAGGGCACCAGGCCATGCTTTTTGAGGGACGAAGATCAAGGAGTTAGATGTTTTCACCCCTAAAAGTGCACCTTCTCCCTAGGGAAACCAGAGGCGTTGTGAGCCGCCGCCCCCCTCGCCCCCGGCACCACCTGTTGGGGTTTGCTATTTAACTCCGGGCACACCTTGCCCACGGCCCTCCGAGCTCGGGGAGGAGGGTCCCGTCCCCGCATCCTGCCAGGCCGACGTCTGGGGCTCGGGTAGGGAGTTGATCTGTGCGTGGCTGAAATTAACTGATCAGGGGCGGAAACAAGTCCGTGGCTTGGGACGGTGGGAGGTGCGGCTGCCCCTGTTCCCAGCGTGTGGCTGTCCCAGGTGGGCGCCGGGCCCAGAGCTCGTCCCGACGCTCCCCGCAGCTTTGGAGCGCCAGAAGCCCGCCCGGTGCAGCCCTGGCGGAGATACACAGCGCGTGCACCCCCAGGAGGCGAGCAGGGTGAGGGAAGGGGAGGGGACCCCAGCGCCCCGGGACCCCGCGGCCCGCATTCGGAAGTTTTCCTGAGCGACTTAATGGCTGTCCTTTCAAGTCGCCGCCAGGTATGCGGCTGCAGGTGACTCCACCTGGGTGCGCCCCCTCTGGTCCCGTGTAGGGTGGGCGGCTGCGGGAGGTCGATGTCTGTAGATCATCTCCACTGGGGCCTGCGCCCCCTCCCCAAAGCCCCCCGCGGGGCGGGCCGCAGCCGCAGTGCGCGCAGGGGTCGGCGCCGCGGCGGGCCGGTTCCTGAATGAACGCGCTCCCTTCCCCCGCCTGAATGAAGGTTCCCACAGCCAGGGACGGTGGCAAACGCGCTTGCCGCGGAATTCGCCCTCTCGGGGCCGGAGATCCGCCCTGGCCGGCCGCGGTCTCCCCTGGGGACGGGTGGGCGGCAAGGAAAGCGGGAAGGTGATTTAAGTCACTTTCGGATTTCCTTTCCAACCAACGCAGCGCCTTCCCGATCGGGTCGCTGGCCCTTTGTCTCCATATAGTCACCGAGAAATAAGCGCGGAGCACTTTAAACGAGCCCAGAACTCGCAGTTCCTGCCTCGTGGTAGGTTTTTAAAAGGCAGTGCAAAATTAAAACTGCTGCAGAAAAGTTTTTAAGAGTTGCTTTTCTCTTTGGAAAAAAATAAAATAAAAACGCGTCCTCGGCACTCCTAGAAGCAGCCGTCCTCAAGGGCCCAGGGCCGGCGGCTCCCTCTGCAGCTCCAGGGACGCGTATCTGGGCTCCCCGGGGTGGGGGCTGGGCCGCTGGCGCTCCCCGCCAGGCCCCAAATTCCTGCGCCTCCCCCGCGGGTTCCTGGACGGTCTTCACGCTCGCCCGCCGGCTTGCACTTTTGCGCCCATCCCTGAGCGGGGAAATCAACGAAGTTCCTAGTCGAGATCTGCCCCGTCCGCCTAGTAACAGCGCCGCGCCCCCATTGGCTCATGCTAATTCCAGTTTCCTCTGTCTTTCTCCGGGTTAGGGGGGAGCTCCCTCCCGGACCCGGAGCCCGTTTGGCCGTAGTGGGCGAGCCTCTTTATGACCCGCCGCCCCTCGCTGTCGCCGGCCGCCTCGGGCCCGGCCGGGCCGGGGGCGCCCGCGGGGCTCGGGCCCCTAGCCCCGCGGAGCAGCGGCCGCTCGGCGATAGCGCGCAGTCCCATAAATCATCGGGGCAGCCGCCGGGTCGGGATTTTATGAATGAAAAAGCAGCCCGGCCGCCCTCGTGCGCGGGCTGCTGCTGCCGCGAGGCGCTCGCGTGGGTGCCCGGGGAGGGGGACACGGCGGTGGGCGCTCCCGCTCGGGCCACCCACCGCTTCCGAGGCGTGAGCCGGAGTAATTGCCCTGCTGGACCCGGAATTTCAGTAACCCTAATTCCCGGCGGGGGAGGGGAGCGCGAAGAATCAGCCCTGCGAGGGGGTATCTGGTCTCGCTGCGCGCACCCTTGCGAAGGGGAGTGGGCTTTTTCCTGCGTTTTCTTTGAGCCTTTACTGTTAGGGGATACGGCGGTTTGATGACCCTAAACTGTATTCGGAGGGAAGTAAATGAATGGTCTAATTAATTGGGGGCAAGCAATGTAAAAACTCAAAAAAAGTTAAGATTGGGCAAAATGTCTTTTTATTTAAAAAAAAAAAAAAGGCACCAAAGACACTAAATCTGAACAAAAAATTTTAAAAACCCACTTTTCTGTATTCTTTTATTTGCCTCTTAAGGTAGCGATAACATTGGGTTCCCTCTCTTATAACCACTAATTTATATAGATTTTGCTTAAAACCTGATCAATGCACCCATTTCTTTAACTTACAATTGTTCTAATTTTTGCCGGCCCCTGCCTTCCCCCCACAGGCTCACGAATGCAGCCCCGGGCTAATTGTAAGGGTGCAAAGATGTCCACACCCCCCGACAAAACCAATTAGGAAGCTTCCGGTGGTCTTGTCAGAGGCAAGAGAAGCGACTAATATTTCCAGCGATTTAATTTATTTTTTTTAATTAAAAAATAAGTCAGGACAGAGACCACTACTTTGCAGTCTTCCATTCAAGGAGTTTTCCTAGCTCTTAAATTGCCGGGATGGGGGGTCGAGGGCTGGGGGCGATCGGAGACCCCTGGAAGGTTGTATTGGCCAAGGTAGGAAGGCGACCCGCAGATCCCCCAGGCGAGGAGGACGGGATGAAGGAAAGGCTGGCCACCATCTTGGGCTGCTGCTGGAATTTTCGGGCATTTATTTTATTTATTTTATTTTTTGAGCGAGCACATGCTAGGCTGAAACCCCTTTTGGCTTAGGGATACCCCCTCCGGCATTTGCAACGACCACCCCCACCTCCGGCGCGGGAAAGGAGCCTCCAGCAGGGTCACGGACTCCGCTTCGCGTCCCTGAGTGCTAAGTGGTTCCTGAAATTTACACGTGTTAATGAAAATGAAAGAAGATGTAGACTTGAGGTCCCTTGGCCGGCTCTCCGCCCGTGGGTGCCCTCGTGGCGTTTTCGGAAATGCGCCCATTCTCCCGGCTCGGATATAGGGTGTCTCCGAACCCCAGAGTGCCCCCTCCATGCGGTCTCCCCCGGCTGCGTGTGGCCTGGCCGCCCCCCCCCCCCCACTTGTTCCCCCCTGCAGAGCCACCTCCACCCCCCCCCCCGAATCCCGGGGGACCCACTCGGGGAGGGCAGACACCCCTGCACCCCTCTTCCCCGGCGGGGAGAAAGGCAGCCTCGGGCGATTTGCATTTCTATGAAAACCAGGCTTCGGGGCAACTCCGCCGCGGGGCAGGCGTGGCGCCTCCGGGATGGCTTTTGGGCTCTGCCCCTCTCAGCTCCCCGGCGCTCGGAGCCCGCGCCCCCTCCCCCTGCGCCCGCCCGCCGCCCCCCCCCCCCCCCCCCCGTCCGCTCCCATTCTCTGCCGGGCTTTGATCTCTGCTTAACAACAGTAACGTCACACGGACTACAGGGGAGTTTTGTTGGAAGTTGCAAAGTCCTGGAGCCTCCAGAGGGCTGTCGGCGCAGTAGCAGCGAGCAGCAGCGTCCGCGCGCTCCGGCGAGGGGCAGACGAGCTCGAGGGAGCGCGGGGCAGCTGGAGCCAGAGCTGAGCGCGGAGCGACCCGGGACCCACCGCCGTCCCCAGGCCCCCCAGTAGAGCCCCAGCCATGGCACACCAACTCTTATGCTGCGAGGTGGAGACCATCCGCCGGGCGTACCCCGATGCCAACCTCCTCAACGACCGGGTGCTGCGGGCCATGCTCAAGGCGGAGGAGACCTGCGCACCCTCCGTGTCCTACTTCAAATGTGTGCAGAAGGAGATACTGCCGTCCATGCGGAAGATCGTGGCCACCTGGATGCTGGAGGTGCGGGGCTTCGGGCGGCTCTTTAGGACTTTTCCTGCAACTTGTTGCCCAAACCCCATTTCTTTGCCGCTCGTCTCCCTCCCTCCTCTCCCACCCCAACTTTGAAGTTTGCCCGGGGGTTGCTAGGAATCGCGTTTTCAAAATATATAGATATTGTGGGTATTTTTTTTTTATCGAAAATGCGGTGGGGGGTGGGGTCGTTTGAAATTCCCTATCCTGGCGGGGGTAGTCTGGGAGAGCGGCCGGGGAGGAGACCCTTCGGGGAAAACCAGTTGCCGGGGGCACCCCAATTGACTCGAGGGTGCGGGCCGGCGTCCTGGGCGCCCTTTGTGGCCCCCGCCTGAGCCCGAGCCCCCGCTGCGCCTCCTCTACGGCTACACTGCCGCGGGCCGCCTGCTCCAGGGGGAGGGGGCATAGATTTGATTTTTAAATTAATATCCATGGACACGTATGCAAGGGCCGCTCGTGCCAGTATTATGCGCCATCTTTGTTCTTTTATTGCAAAGCAAAAGTGTTTATTAATAATTGGGGGCAGGGTGGGGGCGGGGAGCGCCCGGCGAGGCGCTGGGGCCGCCGCGAGGGGCCGCGCGGCCGCGGCGAACCGGAGGGAGGGGCGCGGGGACCGAGCGCGGGCAGCTTGGGGGGGGCCCCCGCTCGGGAAGAGGGGCCCCTTTGTTCAAGCTGCCGGTCCCGGGGCGCCCTGCACGGCCAGCCTGGGCCGGAGAGCACGCCGAGCTACAAGGTCGCGTGGCCCCCAAGACGCTGGGGATTGACCCTGGCCTGCAGGGGTCTCAGCTTGGGGGACCTGTCTGGAGCGAGTCGGCGGCCCGGGGCACACTTTCAGGCCTTCAGCAGGCGCCCGGGGGACCCGCAGATATTTTAAAATAATTTTTGAAAGTGCGGCGTGGTGCCCTTGCGAGAGGGAAAAGGCGCCCGCGCCCAGGGGGAAGGGGGGGCCCCCGAGTTTGAATTCCTGGGGCTCTCCCCGGAGCCTCCAACGAGCTCTCGACCCCCGGCCTGGGTAAAGGGCCGCCCGAGGGTCATTTTCAGGGGTTTTTTATGTACCCAGTTATTTTTTTTATATTTTTAAATATTTTTTGAAAAGATGACGTCTGGGGAAATGCGGCGCGGCGGCCTGGGACGCCACCTTTGTGTCTCGCAGGCGCTGTGAGCGCGGCGCCCAGCCCCGCGGCCCGCCCCGCGGCCCCGCACCCCATTTGGGGCGAGCCCCGGCCCGGCGGGCCCCAGAGCACCCACGCGGGCCGGGGTCTCCGGGGCGGGCCGCCCGCGCGCGGCGCACGCCGCCAGCCGTGCCCACTCCCGCCCCCACCGTGCCAGCCTCTTGGGGACTTTCCCTTTCAGTTTCGGGCTGGGTGGGCACTGGGGACACGCGGGGGAGGGGGTGCGGCAGCGGCGGTTTCAGCCGCCCCCCACGACCGACCCGCTGCGCGCTCGGGACCCGCCGCCCGGGCACGAGCTGGGGTGGGGGGCGCGGGGTCCCCGCGGAGGGGCCCAGCGGCGGCGGTCACGACGCCCGTGCCCCCCAGGTCTGCGAGGAGCAGAAGTGCGAGGAGGAGGTCTTCCCGCTGGCCATGAACTACCTGGACCGCTTCCTGTCGCTGGAGCCCGTGAAAAAGAGCCGCCTGCAGCTGCTGGGGGCCACCTGCATGTTCGTGGCCTCGAAGATGAAGGAGACCATCCCCCTGACGGCCGAGAAGCTGTGCATCTACACTGACAACTCCATCCGGCCTGACGAGCTGCTGGTAACCTGGGACCCCCCGCGGCCCACCCACGCCCCTTGAGCCCCAGGACCCCCCCGGGTGGGGGAGGTGCAGAGGGCGGGAGGCCCCCCGCAGGCCGCTGCCGCACCCTACGCCCCGAGGGCTGGGGGCCACACCGGTGGGGCTCCTTGGGCGGAGCGGGAGGGACCCCCGCTGCCCCCATCCCCAGCGCGCCCCACCACACACGGTCGCTCCGACTCCCACCTCTGCTGCGCCCCTTAGCGCTGCCGAAAAGTGGGCGGCGCGCGCCCTCTAGCGACGGCGGCGCGGGCAGCCGGCGCGGCTCCCAAGGGCTTGCGTTCCAGGTGTGGCTCTTTTTGGTCCCCACTTGGGCACAGTTGGCTTTTTCTACGGCACCCTCTCTTTTTGGACCTCTGTTGGGGTGGCGTGCTGTCCTCCACTTCCCAGACCCCCAGCGTGCCCCGTGCCTTCGCTCCTGGGCCGTGCCCCACGGAGTGGGAGAGGGGGGACCCAGCCCCGCCCCTCTTTTTATGCCGGTTCACCCCACTTCCACAGCAAATGGAGCTGCTCCTGGTGAACAAGCTCAAGTGGAACCTGGCCGCGATGACCCCGCATGACTTCATTGAACACTTCCTGTCCAAGATGCCCGTGGCCGAGGAGAACAGACAGATCATTCGCAAGCACGCGCAGACCTTCGTCGCCCTCTGTGCCACAGGTAGGGCAGCTGGGTCCCGCTGCTCCCCGGCCTCCCTGGGGGCCCTCGCCCCTGCCAGAAGAGCTTCTTGCCCTCTGCCTCCGTTTCCCCGTCTGAAGAGCTGGTCCCCAGACCCTCCTGCTCTCGGAGGTGCTCCTCTTCCCTTGGCTGAGTGCTGGGCTAGGTGAGGGGCAGTGGGGGGGTCCCTTCCTGAGTCAGGCCGCTGAGGCTGGCCGCAGCCACCAGCAGTGCCTTCGGGATGGGGGTGGGTGGTCCGCCAGGCTGTGGTCACTCCGTGCTGGAAAGGGTTTCCCTTGGCTGCCCAGCCTGCCTCCCCCATCACCAGTCCTTCCCTGTGTCCTCAAGGGGCCCCCTTCTGGCCTCTCCTGGGCTGGGCCACCTGCCAGGGGCGCCTACAGGGGTGGGGAGTCGGCCCGCAGTGCCTGCACCAACCACGTGCTACGGGCGGCCCTTGTGCGGGGGCGGCCCGCAAAGGAACTTGGCGGCCTGAGGCCCCGCCAAGGGGTGCCTCGGGCCTGCGCAGCTCAGCTGAGCACTGGGAGGGGCTTCAGAGCAGCCTGGGGCTGGGCCGCGGCAGTTGGCAGCAGGGGCCGGTCGTCCCTCCCCCTGGCGGGGCTCTGGATGGTCCCTGGCGGCCCCTCCCTGACCCGGCCCTGGCCCCAGCCCCTGGGCAGCCATGGATTCAGCACTGGGGCGAACTCCCACGGACACACGCTGGCTTTGCCTCTCGTTTCCCCCAGCCCTTACCCTAACACCCTTTCTCTCTCCCTCATTCTCCCTCTTTGTGACCTCTTTCTCTCTCCCTCTGATCACATGAAGTGGGCAACCCTGCCTGGGGACCCAGGCCCCCATCCCAGCCAGCTCTGCAGTGGGCCACCTCTGCCCCCGGTCAGGCCTCTGCTGTCACCTGTGTTTGGGGCTCACCGTGGGCAACCAGAGGGCCACAGGGCATCCAAGGGGGAAGTTGACATCTATCACTCCCTCTTCACAAGCCGCAGAAGCCCTAGTCTGGCACCTCCTGGCACCCTCTTGATGTCAGGGTGCTATTTCTGGCTCAGGCAAGAGTCAGGAAGACTCTGCTGGCCTCCCATCCTCCGCCTCCTGCTCAAGGCGTGAACCCCCTCCTCCGAGCCCTTCCAAGTGAGAGGAGTGGGGGACACTGTCGTCCGGATGGATCTGAGGGGTGGCAGCTCTGGCCCTGGGGCAGGGCCGGGGAGCCTCCCGCTGGCCATCCCCTCGGCCTCCAGGGGCCAGCCGCACAAGCAGGCAGGGAGGCGTTCTCTGGCTGGGCCGCCTCGGAAGAGAGAGGCCTCTGGAGACGTCCAGGCAGCCTTTTATGGAGCTGAAAGTGGTTCAGAGAAACGGCAGAGTTTCCTGGAGATAATGTAAGGAACAGTTCTTGTACACCCTTCCCCCTACCCCCCCCCAGGATGGCGGGGGCAGCCTGGAGCTCCCCCTCTCCCAGAACCCTGGGGAAGTGGGGTGTGTAGCCCACGTGCAGGGCTTGGCCGTGCGGGGAGCTGCCCTGGCGCAGAGGCTAAGTGGGCTTCAGTGCGGACCCCCAGCTGGCCCGCGTCGGTGTGCGCGCGTGTGGCCGGCCTCTAAGACTGGGCCCAACAAGCACCCCCGGCCTGTAGGGTGCAGCCTGGGCCCAAAGCCCTGGGTCTCTCCTGAGGGAAAGTGGGGGGAGGACCCCACTTCTCCTAGGTATTAACTCCGGGGGGGGATCAGGCAGGCCAGGAGGAGAGGGTCACCCACCCACCCACGTCCAGGGACAGATTCTCCGGGTCCAGATGTTCGCCTGTGCGGTCCGAACGTAACAGAGACGCAACCTTGCCCTTGGTCACAAGGGGACCTCTCACTTTTGAGTGGCTGCTCCGAAACAGGTTGGCAGAGACGGAGGCCTGAGCAAAAGCCCCAGAAGATATTTTTGTCCTCCACGGAGCAAGGGTCCCGCTTGATGGTGCCGTGAGAGGAGGGGCTCTGTTCTTGCTCTGGAGACCCGCAGACGGGCTCCCACACGAGTGCACACGTCCCCCACACCTGGTGAACATGTATATTCATCTGTGTGTCCTGGAGTTTTCCGGGCGCTGCAGTGGGTTAGGTAAGCAAACGACCAGGGCTGACAACTCATCAGGACTGACGAGTAGGTCTTAGCGAGAGTCCACAACGCCTCTGGGGGTCACTCTGGCCACAGGCCCCCCTGCCCTGCTCTGCAGCCAGCAGAGTGGAAACCAGTGTCAGAGCTTTGGGGATGCAGTTGGGTTCCTCCTCATCTCCACACATAAGCCCTGTAGTGTGCACACACACGCACACACACTCATCTGCCCTGTGCTGTGCATGCACACACTCATCTACACGTGTAAGCCCTGCACCGTGTGCACACACATCTACCCTGTACCATTCGCGCATCTCCACACATAAGCCCTGCACTGCACACACACATACACCCATCTACCCTGCGCTGTGCACACGTACATGCTCACACTTGTGCACACACGCACACCCTTCTGTGGGGAGGCGGGCTCCAAAAGCGAGCCTGTCCCCAGCTCATCGTCCCTTGTGGACTGGAGTCTCAAGGTCCAGCCAAACTAGTTGGGACATGGCAATTTCTGTCCCCGCCTGATGGGCCTCAGTGAAAAGCTTTTCATTCGTGGCTCCGGGCTCCCAGACTTGGGGCCACTGCTCCAATGTCAAGTGGGAAGGAGGTGGCTGCCTCTTAAGAAATTTCTTTTTCGTGGTACCCAGTGGTGGGCTCTGTGGCCCCTCCAAGGTGGCTCCCCAGCCCCCAACCTGGCCACGTTCCTTTGGCCAGGCCTGCTCTCTGCTCCCCGGAGGAGGGAGCAGACCCTCAGGCCCACCAGGCCCTGGCACTCCGTGCATGCAAAAGGGGATCAAGGGTCTGACAAAGACGCTACGATGGTCCCTCCCTCCCCCCAACCCCCTGATCGAGAAAATCGGCGGCCTTTCCCACCAAAAATTCTTCACTGCGTGCCCCAGAATGGCAGCCCATTGGCCCCACATGGCCATTTACACATCCTTACCACTTTCCCACCTTTTCATGATAAGGGTGAGAGGTGCTGGGGCTCAGCCTAGGGGCAAAGGCAGGGGTCTCCCCCATCCATCACTGAGCCGTGCCTTGGAACAGAGGGGAGGGAGTGCTGGCAACTGGCAGGTGAGGTAGTGAGAGGACGCTACCTCCGCTGGGTCCCAGGAGGAAGGTCTGGTGAGGACGGGCACCCCATGCCACCATGGGGACCAATGTCCCCCACCCCTGCACACTCCTGGGGGACGGTGAGACCCGTGTGCCCCTCCCAGAGTGTAGACCTGACAAGCCACCCCCCTGTCCCTGGGGCCCAGCAGCACATCTTGTCCCTTGTAGTCTGTCACCTTTTTTAATTTTTGTGGATGAGCAACATGGTTCTCAAGGCTCAAGTACAGTGATGTTCCTTGTCCCTTCCCCAGAGGCTTTGCAGTTTGCTTTTGCCAATGGTGGCTTCCTCCGTTTGCTTTTCCGTTTTCAAGGGAACGTGACAAGCTCGTCGGGTGACTCCCAGGCCTGGCTTCTGTCCAGCGCTGGGTCGTGCGCTGCAGAATCAGCCCAGGCCAGCCGTGGGCGGGGACACGCCCTGATGCAGAGTTGGGGCTGGGGACTGCCGGGACCACCGGGTCCTGTGGAGGGTCCCCAGCTCACGGCCCCCTCACCTCTCTCCCTCTCTCCTGCAGACGTGAAGTTCATTTCCAACCCACCGTCCATGGTGGCAGCCGGGAGCGTGGTGGCCGCCGTGCAAGGCCTGCACCTGGGAGGTTCCAATAGCTTCCTGTCCTGCCATCGCCTTACTCGGTTCCTCTCCAAAGTGATCAAGTGTGACGCGGTAAGTGACTGAGGGCACTGCTCCCATGCCAGCTTGGCAGGGCCCATCCGGCACCAGGTACTAGAAACTTCTAGCACACGGGGGCCCAAAGCTGCAAGTTCACTGATGGGAAATGCCATGCTCGCGCCAAGGGCCCAGAAGTGATGGAGGTGGGGACCATGTGTGGGACGGGACAGGTGCCGGATTCAGAGGCATGGGACCTGGCCTGAGGCTGACGGCTGCAGGCCTCTCCCTGCTCTCCTGCAGCTCCTTTGGAAGGAGAAGCATTTCCCAGAACTTGCGGGCAGGCCAGGAGGGTCCTCGGGCTTCTGGGGCTCCCAGGGCTCCCAGGGGCAGGCGGGAGCCACACAGCCCTCCCGGGGAGCCGTCCAGGAAGAGGGGCCACAAGGCAGGCCTGGCAATGATCCGTGTCCTAATGGCATGTGAAGTTGGGCCCCAGTGGGGCTTTGTCTGAGCCACGAATGCGGATGGCTCGTAAAAGGGAGCCTGAAAGGGCTTCTGTGAGGTCTGCAGATGCAACAATGGCCCCTGGAGACGACCGCGTGTTTTACGGCCCCCTTTGAGTGGCTGCTGCCATTGGTGCCCCGAGCCGGAGCCGATTGTGTCGTCCTTCTTCGAGATGCCAGTGTTTGATTGCCGCTTCCTTTCTTGTCTTAGAGAAAGAATGGAAATCCCAGTTACGGGGCTTTGTGGCCTTTACTGGATGAGACCAGCGAGGTTGGCGGGTCAGCCCTCAGCCTCCGCTGGTCTGCCGAGCGGGAGCGAGTGACCGCCCTGACCCCAGTCCAGGTCTGGCTCGGACTCGGGCTGCCTTCTGGGGGTCCACTCTCAAGGGCCCCGGAGGCCCTATGGGCCCTAGCGGCCGCCACCCCACCACACCATTCAGGGAAGGAAAGCCGGGCTGTGGGGAGAAGCCTGCCCATCCCCTGCCTGGAGGGGACCACATTCTTGCTTCTGTCCTTGCTGGGAGCAGGTGGTTCCCGGAGTGGGTGGGGAGGCTCCCCTCTCAGCCTCCGTGCTTACTGGGCCTCCTAGAGGGATGGGGTGTCCTGGCCGGCTGCTGGGGGCCAGCGCTGCCCTGCAGCTCACCCTTGGTGAGGGAGACACCACAGATAGCCTGGGCACAGACAGCTGCAGATCAGAACCGCGATCACAGCTGGACTGAAATTCGTTGGTCTGGTTACCCGGCGACCAGCGCAGAGGAGCCCAGGCACGGGAAGCCTGGGCCACGGAGCCCTACGTGTCCTCGGGCTGGGAGCTGCGTCTGCCCCTCCCCAGAACTGGGCCCTGGTCACCGGCGTGGCTCTTCCCAGGCCGAAGCTGCAGGTCTCTGGCCGTGAGGAGGAAGTTAGGGCCATGTGGCAAAGGGGAGTCCCTTTCTGCACCCCTGGCCTTCCCCTCCGCCACACAGTCCCCCGAGTCCCCGGCGGTAAGTGAACCATTGCCCGTAAGAGCTGCCTGCAGAGAGCCACTGCGGGCGGGCGGGGAGGAGCCATCTGGCCTTGGGGCTGGGACTGGGGGGCTGTGCTGGGGGTTAGGATCGGAGCCCGAGGAAGTTATTAGGAGTCCCGTGCCCTCACCAGGCCTTCTGGGCCTCTGAATCCTCATCTGTAAAACGCTGTTTGCGCCTACCCTGCCTTGCTCACTCGCCGTGACAAACGCAGAAGGAGTGGGGTAGGAAAGCCCTCCATGTGAAAACGTGGAGCTCCATTAGTGTGACCGAGCCCCAGGGAGGGGTTCACTCAGAACCCTTGCTGGCCTGGAGCCACTGCTTTTGGGCAGGGAACACCTGTTTCCAGCCCCACCTGGTTGGGAGCTCAGCGGCACCTTCCCCAGGCACGTCCGTGGTTCCCTGGTTCCTGGGGGAAAGGTGCAGGTCTGTTTTCCAGGCTGGGCTGGAGACTCTCTGTTCCAGGATAGAAGCCCAATGGGGCATGCCTGGAGTTGGGACGGCAGCCCGCCACCTGCACCTCAGCTCCTGGGAGAGCCTCCTGGGCGTGGAGACCTTGAGGAGGGCACCGGGCCAGACCAGTGCGTTCTCCCAGGGTGCAGGCCAAGGGGGCAAGGATGGAGGAAGATAAAGGGTCCAGGCACCCCCCGCCCCGGGCCACCCAGTGTTCACCCTCGGTCATGCACGGCCTAACGCTTTTGTCGGCCATTCGTCATGGAAGGCTGGGTTCACTTCGAGGGCTGATGTGGCAGAGGTTAAGTCCGAAGAGCAGGGTTCAGGGGGCCTCTCCAGCCTGCTCAAACAGCACTGAATCGGCCAAGGGCGGCGACTGGGCCGGCAGAACAGCAATCAGGGGTGAGGCTGGCCGGGGGGACGCCAGGCGGGTGGGCAAGGGCGTCCTCACGCACAGAAGATAGCCAGTGGCGCTGTGGCCAAGTGGGGGCCCAAGCTGGTCGGCTCTGGAGTCTGGGCAATGGCCCCAAGTTCTTCACCCGATTTGGGGGAGGCAGTGCTTTACCCCACATGGACAAAGTGCTGGCGTTTGGGAGGGGACTGGCCCACCGGCCTCCATCTGAGGACCCCTGTCTCCCATCTGGCCAGGACTGTCTCCGCGCGTGCCAGGAGCAGATCGAAGCTCTGTTGGAGTCCAGCCTGCGCCAGGCCCAGCAGCAGAGCCTGGACCCCAAGGCGGCGGAGGAAGAGGAGGAAGAGGAGGAGGCCGATCTGGCCTGCACACCCACCGACGTGCGAGATGTGAACATTTGAGGGGGCGCGCGGCATGGGAGGGGCCGACCCCAGGTGCTGCCCTGACAGGACCGTGCTCCTCGTCAGGACCGGTTACCACCAGAAGGGAAAAAGCTTCCTTCTCCTTTCCTGTCGTTTTTTTTCCTTTGCTCTTTTTCTCTCTTCCATCTCTGACTTAAACAAAAGAAAAAAAAAGTACCCCAAAAATACTGTCTTTAAAAAAAAAAAAGAAAAAAAAAGAGAGGCAAAAAAAAAAAATAGTATTTGCATAACCCTGAGCTGGGGGGTGGGGGGAGGTTTGCTACAAAATAGAGGCTCTTACACCCCTAACGGACTAGATTTTATACGGATGTGTTCGCGTCTCTGTGTCGTAAGGATAGGCATTAACACAAGGAACGAGTCTGCGGGGGAGGACTAGATTTGATGCTTTCTGTGTTTCAAACAAAACAAAAAAAAAAGCATAAAAACATTTTTAAAAAACTAGAAAAAAGCCAACCAGCCGTTTTTGGAGTAGAAGAGGATTTTAGGTAGCAACCACGTTCCTTAGCGTGGCTTCGTGGTGGTCCTAGGTCCCCCGCCCCTCGCTTGCTCGTGCATGTAGTCACTTTATAAGCCCTTTGCGCGTGTTTTATTTTATTCCGTAGGTAGGTGTGTAAACTCTTCACCTGTCCGTGGCTGATGGAACCTCAGTTGGCATAGCGTAGAGCTCGGCGAGGTCGCATGCTGGCCTGACCCGGAGTGGGTGGGTGGCTGGGCCCGGGGCCAGCGGCGCAGCGGTCCCGCGCTGCTGAGAACAGATCCCGCCCTAGTGACGTAATATATTCTATTTTTATAATCGTCCTATTTTTGTAGTTGCCTGTTGATGAGATGCTGGTTTTTCACCCCCACAGACCCACAAGCCTGCTCACATCCAGGTGAAACCCACAGCTCCTTTTTTTTTTTTTTTCCTTTTCTTTCCTTCTCAATATTCTAGAACCATTCCATTTCAAAGCACTTTCGATCCAGTGGTTATCGGGAATCTCTCGTGTCTGTTGTGTGTGGAGGGGTGGGGGCGCGTTTTCTTCATGGAATGGTTTGGGAATATTCGCGTCCTTGTGTGCGGACGGGACGGCGGCGAGGCAAGTGAGGTCACTTATGGAGTTAGCGGGAGGGGATGTTCTTGAAGGCGAGCTTCCGGTCAAGAAGTACATTCTTACGTTGCCAGGGTGACGTGTTCCTTTCTCTGTAGAGCAGTGGAAGTTCGGGAGTCCTTGGTGCCAACTGGTGTTTGAAAGCGTAGGGGGCCTTTCAAGGTTGACCTAGAGAACGCGTAGTTTAAGGCTTAGGAAGGTTTTTAAACACTAAAATATATAATTTATAGTTAAGGCTAAAAAGAATATTTATTGCAGAGGATGTTCGTAAGGCCAGTATGATTTATAAAGTAATGCAATCTCCCTTTGATTCACACACACACGCACACACACGCACGCGTGCGCGCACCTTTGACGTTGTAGGTTTCATACAGTTTGTCCAAGTTAGGTCCTTTCTCATAGGAGAGAGAAAAAGATCCTGAGGAATAACACAGAGAAGCACAGATTTGGCTAATTCGGCCTATCCTGGCAGTTCCCCAGATGGGAACCCCACTCGGAGTTCCTCAGAAAATGAGGGTACTTGAAAACACGTTCAGCCCCAACATATTCTTGTCCCCTGACCCCCTCCTTTTGAAAAAAAGTTTAGCAACCAATAGACAATTTGCACATCTTGGCTATGTACCTTTTCGTGATGACTATGTAGGGAGAGTAGAAGGCGGCAAGGGCACAGGGCTGGTGCTCGGCGAGGGCGTAGGGGGCACGGGTGGGGGCGAGCAGAGGGCCGACGGTGAAACCACGCGGCGGCCAGGCGGTGGTGGCTCGGTCTCCTGATTCGATGCTACCGATGACTTCCCAGCACAGTTTGGAAACCCATTCACATCGCTTCTCTGTATCTCTTTCACATTGTTTTGCTGCTATTGGAAGATCAGTTTTTGTTTCTGTTTTACAATGTCATATACTGCCATTTTCTAGTTTTAATTTTCTCATAGAAAAATGTATTAAGGATGCTTTTTTTTTGTAGATTTTTTTTTTTTTTATGTGATCAATTTTGACTTAATGTGATTACTGCTCTATTCCAAAAAGGTTCCTGTTTCACGATACCTCATGCTTCTCTTAGCCATGTGTAGACCCGGCGGTCCGGCTCCGGCAGGCAGACACGCGGACCGGGATCCCGAAATGGGCCTGGCGGGGGTGGGCTCGGGGCCGTGACTGCCTCCTTCTCCCTGCGCCTGTAATGCTGGGCTGTCCCCCACCCCCGGCCTGGGACGGGCCACCTCCCCAGTCTCTACAGCCGTATTGTTCTTCCCGTGAAGCTATGGAAGTCGCACTATTATATTATTATTATGGTAACAGGTGCCGTCACATGCCACCGCGGGGTTGTGCGGCGCGACTCGGTCACTCGGGATGAGCGGACTCGCTTCTGGACTTGGTGAACGTTCCGGGTGTCGCGTCTGTTAAGTACCAGTGTTCTGTGTGTTCTCTGCATTACAGCAAGATGCGGATTTAAAAACAAAAGGACTCCAGATCTCAGTGAAGCCGGCTGACCGTGCTGCGTGCCCAAGTCGCCCGGCACGCTGCCGAACCAAAAGGATTTGCACCCCGGGGTGGCCCCTGTCCCGGCTGGGTCAGCCTTGGGTGCTCCCTGGCCATTGGCAGGCCCTGGCCCCGCCATGCCCCGCCCCTGCAGGAACACTGCCTCTGCTTACCTCAACCGTTCTGGTGCGGCATCTCTGTGTCTGAACCAAACGGGGTCCTTGAGGGACGGTCTGTCCTCGTGGGGGGAGGGGTTGAACGTTATGTGCGCTCAAAGGCCAAAGGCCGGCGGCAGGTCTGGGGAGCACAGCGGAGTCTGTCCTGTGACCAGCAAGTCTGTGAGGGTCTCTGGTGGGCGGGCACTTTTGGTCTGGGGGGTGCTCGGCTTGCACACTGTGGCGCAGACATGTAACCGGCACGTTTCCAGCAGAAAACAAAAGACAAACGTGAAAAGTCTAGAAATAAAATTGGTTAAAACCCCAGTGCGGGGCCTGCCTGTTTCCTGGGGCCGGTGGGGAGCTAGGGGCACAGGGCTCAGGAACAGGGTCCGAGCTGCCGGGTCCTGGGCTGGGGGGATGGCAGGCAGGCGGGGGTTCCCGCCCCGGCACTGCCGATGTTTGGGGCCAAATGCTCCTGGGTCTCGGGGAGCTGTCCTGTGTACTGTGGGGTGTTTAGCCGCACCCCTGGCTCCCACTCACCAGACGACAGGACAGTCTCTGGTTGTCACAGCCCAGAATGACTTCTGACACGGCCAGAGGTCCCCTGGTGATGCAGAGGGAGTCCGTGCTCTTGGTGGGGAGGACATGTGGAGGAGGGGGCTGGAAAGAGGTCAGGACCCCTCTACAAGGCAGCTCCCACCACCTGAGCGGAGTTCTGACCCCAGTGGCGAGGCCCTGCCTGCTGATGAGGACCGGCTCCAGCTCACTTCTCCCCAGCAGCACACCCCCCAACCCCCAGGATATTTGCAGATGGGAAAATAAACAAGCCAGCTTTCGCTAACCTTCCTCTGGCGTAAACTTGCTGTTTGTTCTTGGTGAATCATGGTCCAGGTCCCAAGGCACCCCCACCCAGCTCGGGGACGACAGCAAAGTGCATGTTTGGGCTTCAGTCCGGTGGCCTTTCACACGGACCCATGACCTGGGAGGCCTCGTGGACACCTGTGACGCTTGCCTCGGCTTCAGATGCACTTGGCCGACCTCATTCCCAGCCCGAGGTGGGGAGCAGACAGGAAAGGCAGCAGCAGGCCTCACGGCCAGTTCCGTGGGACCTGGGCCTCTTCCTGGAGTCTGGGGTCCCCAAAGTGTCCTCACCCCCCCCACCCCTGGGGCTGTTGGGTGGTGAGTGCTCAGGAGGGAAGCCGGGTCATGTGCCAAGGATATCACTCCTTGGCAGGTCAGCTTGCTGTGGCTTTTATGAGGCTCCTGCTGTATACCAGCCCTGCCCCATGGGGTGACCCTCCTCCCAGCGGGAAGCCTCCAGATGGATGTCTACGAGCAGGGGCTCTGGTGGCACTGGGACTGCCGCCTCCCTACCGCAGCCCCACATCCAGCAGGTGCATGCTTGGAGCTCTGAAAGGGCCTCTGACTCGGCAGACCGAGGGGCCGTCAGAGCCGGGGTAGTCCTCTAGCCCCAGGGGCAGGCCAGAGGTATCCTGAGGAGTGGTTCTAGGGGAGCAGAGGTAACAATCTCAGCGCATCAGGTTCAATCAGAAATGAGTGTGACCAAGTGGGGAGCCTGCACAGCTGGTCCGTGGGCTCAGTGCAAGGGCGGTGAGGCGCGGAGGGGGAGCTGGAGCCCTTGCAGGGCAGAGGGCAGTGGGGAGAAGGGCTCTGGAGGTTCCCCATGCCCCGCCTTGGGTCTTGGAAGACCCTAGGAAAGGACTCTGTAGGCCTTACCTGGCAAACCACCCACCCTGTCCCCTGGTGGGAGGTCTGGCTGCCCCTCGAATCTGTATGGGATAACAGATGGCCTTTGAAGGACTTCTGAGACAAGTTGCCCCCTGCTGCCTCTCTCCCAAGCCCAAAGGCCTGTCCTCGCTGGGCCCCACCTCCCAACCACCTGAGGGGCCTCTCGCTCCTTCCAGCTCCATCCAAGGTCCTGAGACCTGAGCCAGCTCTCCCCTTCACCCCTGTCTATCCCCTACCCATCATCCCCCCCACCTCTCCCCACTCACCCATGTTCCTCCAGTGTCCACCCACAAGACTACAGGCACTACGAACTACTTCCTGCCTCCCTGCCCCTGAGGGGGCGCTCCCTGCAGGCGCTCCCACCCCTGGTTCTGGAATCATGATCCCTGGGTGTCCCTCACTCCTTGAGGACAGGTGCTCACTGTTCCTTCTCCGTGGCCCCATTCCCAGCCTGGCAGGTGCTCCGAAGTGGGAACGCGAGCACAATGGAGAGGGCAGTAGGCCAGGGCCCACGGGCTAGGCCCAGCTTTGGGAGCTGCAGGGTGGCAGACATCGCCTGACCCAGGGGGCGGCGGGCAGACCCCTGCATCATGAGGACTCAGCACTGAGCTGGAAGGCGAGTCAGGTCTGCAGAGGCAGGCACTGCCAGGCTCCTAGGGGCCACAGCCCCAGCCCCGGCATCAGGCTCCCAGAACTCATCTGAGCCCGGGGCCCCAGGGGCTCCTGGAAGCCTCACTGCCCGCACATCTTGGCTCTGCAGTTTGCTGGGGAGGACGGTCCCACCATGGGCCACTCCCAGCGGCGGCCAGGGCAGCACTGGCTCCAGAGGGCACACCTGTGCCCGGGGCTGCCAGGGCCACATGCCGGCAGGCCTCTGCAGCGCACAGGGCTCTGTCATCCCAGGAATGCCTTTGATCAGGAGTTTACGCAGCGAGGCTTCTAATCCGTTTCCCACAGCCCCCTGGCCCGCCCGGGGCCCCCAGCCCTGAGCCACACTGAGGCCCAGGGCAGACAATAGCCCGCGCGGTGGGCGGGCAGCTCTGGCCTGGGCCTTGGGGCCCGCACTGCCACCGCCACGCAGGGTGGGGGAGAAGAATGCAGAGCCCTCCTGAGGGGGCCTCAGTGAGCCTTGAGCCTCAGAGGAGGCGGGGGCCAGGAACCCTTAACATTTTCAGCTACATCTAGTGGAGACGGGCCAATGTCTCCACACATGGCCTCCCTGTGAGCTATGCATCCCAGTCCCCGGCCCCCGGCCCCTCGGAGCGTGGCCAGCCCAGCGCTCCTTGCCCTCGTCCCCAGGAGAGTCCCAGCTCGCACTCACCGAGCACAAACGCTGGACCCGGCCTTGTGCTCAGGGCCCCACGCAGTGTCTCCCTAAATCCTAAAACCACCCGGTGAGTGGCCCTAGGTTCTCGCGGCTAAAGTCTCCCTCTTCTAGGCCAAGGGCAGCCAACTCTACAGAACGGGCCGAGCAAGAGGCCACAGCTGGGCTGGCTAAAAGGTCTCCGCCCCGCTCAGCCACACCCTGGGGTGAGAAAGATGGTGGAAGGACATGGAGGAGCACAGCCGAGGGCCAGCAAAGCAGGAGGGTGGAGGGTACCTCCTCTAGAAAGCCCTCCCTGCCCACCTTCCCCTTCCCTCATTCTGAACAACCCCTTACATGCTCCCCAAGTGCCTTCAAATCCTTTTCTGACCCCGAGTGGAGAAAAAGCGTGTAAATATGAAATGAAAAGTAAACCACTGCCCTCTGCTAGGACAGTTCGGCTTGTACACAAACACTGCCCTTGGTCCCGATGACTCACATTCCAGAACTCGATGACACAGCTCCAGGTGAAACGTTTTCTCTCCTCTAAGTCCTCGGTCAACATTCTTTCCCTGCAGCTGCTCAGGGTGGCTGCTATAGGCTAAACTGTGTCCCCCAAATTCCAACGCTGAATTCCTGAGCCCCGGCACCTCAGGACATCACTGTATCTCGACACGGGGGTCTTTAGTTTTTGTTTTTTAAAGATTTTATTTGTTTATTTGACAGACAAGAGATCACAAGTAGGCAGAGCAGCAGGCAGTGGGGAGGGGGAAGCAGGCCCCCTGCTGAGCAGGGAGCCCCATGCTGCGGGGCTTGATCCCAGGACCGAGACCATGACCTGAGCCAAAGGCAGGGGCTTAACCCACTGAGCCCCGCAGGTACTCCTGGGGACGGGGTCTTTAAAGAGGTGATCGAGATAACATGAGGTCACCAAGGTGGGCCCTGATCCAGCATGACCAGGATCCTTACAGGACACAGACACGCACGGAGGGACGACCCCGTGAGGACCCAGGGAGAGCTCAGCCATCCTCACACGAGCAGAGAGGCCTCAGGAGGACCCCGCCCTGCCCACACCTGGACCTCAGGCTTCAGCCTCCAGGACCAGGGGACGGTACGTTACCTGTTGGGGGACCCTCATCTGTGGTGTCTGTTACGGGGCCCGGGTAGACTAACAGTGGCACAGGATATGCTGGGAATTTCCAACAGGAAGGAGGGAGCAGGCCAAAGCTTTGGGAAACCAGTGTTTTGTTCCATCAGAAAAGAACAAAACCCACGCCGGAGAGCTCCTAAACTCAAGGCCGATCTGGACAAAGGTCAACATCCAAGAGAAGCAGGTGCACAGGATGGGAGCAGGTGTGATGGGGGTGCGGGGCGAGCAGGACACCTTGCCTGCGAAGGACGGAAACCCCGGAACAGCCGTGAGCGAGTGGGACGGTCGTCGGCTCACGCAACGTGAAGCCTGAAAGCAGAGCAGCCCACGGGCCGGCTGCCAGCGGCTCAAGCACACCGGGGCCAGGTGCTCTCCACGCTCCGCGACACACGCCCCGCTGCAGCTCCAGCCGGAGCTGGCGGTCAGCAGCCTGCAGTGAGCCCGGGTGTCACCGCCGCGGGACAATCTCCACAACAGATCCGCTCTCTCCGTAGTGACAGCAGCTTTCCCAGAGGCCCCCAGAAGACTTCCGCCACCATATCCTCAGCTGAGAGCGCCTTGCTCATGCCTGACCCATCCCTGCAGGGGGCATCACCCGGGACAGAACGAAGGAAGTGTCACGATGGCCTTGTGTGCTGTCCCTGGGGTCTGCTGGTGTGACCAAAGGTTCCCAGATGCCGCGTCCAGGCGGGCCCAGGCCAAGCCCGATGTCCAGGGGAGAGCTCTGAAGATCAGCTCCACCCACCCCCCACCAGGGGCTGCCCCGAGGCTCACACAAAGCCCCGGAACATGAGGGGCCGAACTGTGGAGGACAGAGGAGAAGTCTGGGGCAGTTACAGCTGCTGACCGTGGCTGAGCCAGGGTCCTCAAGGAGGAATGAAACCCCCCCGAACATTCATCACGGGGGACCACTTTCTCACAGCAATCAGGTCTACGTGGTTTAACGAGACGCGTGGGCAGAAATGCAACCGGAAGCAACAGCCTGGCCCACTCAACGCGCACCTGCCCTCAGACCTGGACCCCAGATACCGTGGGAGTAAGAAATGAATTTGCTGGGGCGCCTGGGTGGCTCAGTGGGTTAAAGCCTCTGCCTTCGGCTCAGGTCGTGATCCAGGGTCCTAGGATCGAGCCCCGCATCGGGCTCTCTGCTCAGCAGGGAGCCTGCTTCCTCCTCTCTCTCTGCCTGCCTCTCTGCCTACTTGTGATCTCTGTCTGTCAAATAAATAAATAAAATCTTTAAAAAAAAAAAAAAAGAAAGAAATGAATTTGCTGGATGTCACATTATTAAATGCTCCCAGACAGCTTTTTGCTTTAAAATGGGCTATTTATTTTTCTCTCCACTTATCACCACAACAGAGAACTTAGAAAACACAACCACCCACCAAGGAAAACCACCACAGTTGCCCCACCCCACCCCCGGGCCCATCCCACAGGCAAGGGACACCCGCAGCTGGCCTTCGTGGCCGCAGGACCCAGCCAGGGGTCGGGCACTGTCTGCAGCCGTAAGCACACCAGCTCTCAGGGACTCAGCGGGGACCGAGTCGAGGGCCGTGGCCAGGGACGCACATGCCAGCATGGCAGGATCAAGCCCCAGTCTCTTCCTCGGCGCACTGGCCAGGGGAACCGAAGGAGAGGGAAACAAACACCCACCCCCGCTCCTGCGGGGGTCCCAGCCTGGAGTCTCCGGCACATGCTCAGGACCACCAGCTTGTGCGGCAAAGCAGCGATCACTGGAATGTTCCAGAATGATGTTAAAAACTGGAACAGATTCACGGTTACCCCTTTATTCACCTCATGCCTGACTTTCAGGCACGCTGCCTCAGAGAGAAGCAGGCAGACCTGCCAGCAATGCTGAGGGTGTCCCCCGGAGGGCATGGGCCGGGCACAGGGACACCCCAGAACCACTGACGGAACCCCCGTCCCCCCCCACCCATACCTCCCCTGGATACAGATGCCTGTGAAGTGCAGGCAGACGACGAGAGAAGTCGCGTCACAGGAGAAACGCAGTGTCCTCAACACAAGGCTCCCCCAGTCTGCAGAGACGGCAGCAGCCCAACCTTCCGTCGTGAGCCTACAGTACAGCCCCCTTAACCGTCTTAATGCTGCAGAGCCCGGCCCCATCTGGAGACAGTGCGAAAAGCGTGTCTGGGCTCCCTCTGAAGCCCCTCTCGGCCAGAGGCCGTGTCAGCAGGCCACAGGGACTCCCCGTGGCTCCATGGACCGCAGTGGGGACCCGCGCACCCCGGGCCTGGGAGCAGCCGCCCGCTCCATGGCTGTGGCCGTGCGTTCCAGAGCAGGCAGCACAAGCTGCGGTGACAGGCGGGCGTGGGATCGGAGTCCGAGCTCTGCTGCCGATGCCCTTGCACCGGGCGGTCCCCGCGGGTCTCGGTTTCCTCATCTGAAAAGTGGGAACACTGGAGGGATTACACAGAACAGGGAAGCCCATCACCCAGCACCGGCACATCCTCGGGGTCCGCCAATGTCAGTCCCAGCACACTGCCCACCACCTCGCCTCACGTCAAGCCCACGTTCTCAGTTCCTAAAAAACTGTTCTTCTGAGCTCCGAGTCCAGGCTCGGGGCAGGGGAAATCCTAGCCAGAGCTGCCCCCACTCTAGAACCAGCCAGGCCTGTCCAGCCGAAAGGACCCCAGGCCAGTGACCCTGGAGCGGGAGCGAGTGGCCTCACGAGGGCCCTGGCGGGCGCGCACTCACACTGCACAGCAGACAGGGCCCAACAAAGGCCAGGCCTGTGTGGAGGGGCCGCGGGGGCCACCCGGGCGACACAGGCAGCCCCTGGAGGAGGAAGCCCTTTCACCGACCAAACTGGAACCCTCCCCACAGAACAATGACTACTCCATCATTGTTTTGCCTTGAATCACATTTTTAAACACTTAACATACGGACATCTGTTCCTTGAGGTTTCATCTTTGTTCATCTGTCATCCTCAAAACGAAAGTCCAGAACCTTCCGCACTAATTTTAAAGTCTGGCTGAACATTTAGTAATGAACAAAGCTGAAAACACAGAAGAAAAAAACATGTACTCTTTTGAAATCTTACTTGTTTCTACTCACAAATTAGAACAAAACTTTCTCTCTACCTGCAGCTTTCTGTGTCTACACCGCCCCCGAAAGTTCTAACGACTGTTCGTTCTCTAGACCGTCTTCAGTTTTCTCACACAGAAACCCAAAATCAACGTGCTTCTGTGGACCACGCGCGGGGACACGCGGCCCCGAGACCACGAGCGACGTGAGCGCCCGGGGCTGCGTGCGGCGGGCGAGGAGAGAGGCAGGCCGAGCCGAGAGACACATGCAGCGGACAAACCTGTTTAAATTTCCCTCTAATTTTGTCTAAGTCCTCGTGAAGTTTATCGTAAGTGGGGTCATCGTAAGGGAACTTCTGAATCATCCCAAGCAACGACTCTAAGGCCTTCATCTTTTTGCTGTAAAGCACAGAAATAAAAACTTTTAGTCCTTCGCACACAGCGGGCTCGGCTTACGGGACGACGACGCTGATCACGTACTTGGAGCAACGATGCCTGAGTCCGGAAGCGCGAGAACGAGCTCCTCACTCAGTAATATTTACTCACCCAGCAACGCGCTCCCGCCCACAGCCCGCGCTCCGCTGCCGGTAGGGAGCTTGCGGCTGTGCTGCGTCCCAGCCAGGGAGCAGGCGACTGAGGCACCCGCCACGACCTCCTCTAGGTCACGGACGTGGGAAGAGACAAAACCAGGCAAGGAGAGAGCGCTGGGTGGGACACGATCTAGCCCGCTGTGGGCCTGGGGCGTTCCGGGACCCAGAAACATCACGCTCACAGCCTTGGGGAGTTCCGCGGCAGGTAGACCAGCAAGCCCCTCCCTCCAAAGGGCAGGACTCAGCGTCCGGTGTCTGGGTCCGGTTCCCTTTCCCAGGAAGGCGAAGCTCTGCGGGGAGGCGAGCTGGCTCCCAGCCCTCCGGCATTTCACTTCTCTGTGACATGCAGACTCAACAGCCACCTCACGGCTCTCGAGAGGAGAAGTGACCTCCGCCAAGCCCAAAACCTAGCCCAGGGCAGGTGCTTAGTGATCGTAAGGTCTCCTCGCTTCCACCGGACCCTGGAGACCGGGGCTCACACCCGGGGCTGGGCGAGACCGTTCCCAGATGTGCGCACCTGGGAGATGCATGGCGATCCTGACGGGCACCCCCCCAGACCACCCGGATGACCGAGATGGGCCACCCGAGCGTCAGAAGGACGCCAGGTGTCTGACTAAAGGAAATTCGACAGAACTCTTCTGCAGGATGAATCAAAAGCAACCACCACCTCCTAAGTACCGGCTCGGAACTGCTGTTCTCAGTCACATGCAGAGTCTGCGACGGCAAGTCAGTGAACGAGAATGGCGATGGCCGCCTCTCTAAGCCAACACAAACTGTAAAAGGTCGGAAGGAGTCAATTAAAGCAACGAAGCACTCGGTCTCCGGGGCGACGGAAGGCGGATGCCAGCAGGCGGGAAACGGCTGTATTCCAGCGTGATAAAAGTACACCCACTTTTAAGTCGGCAAGTAGCAACTCCGCCTTCTCTGATCCGTGAAGCTACTTCGAAACACACCCGGCCCATCACACCGTCAAAGTCAATGCCCGTCAGCAGGGCGTGCCCGCTCCCGGCTGATCCAACGGCACGGCCGGCGCCAGACCTCAAGCTCAGCCCTGGCCAAACGCTGGCCCGCACACGGCCCCCACCACCCTGCTGGGGGGCCAGGGGTGGGGAGACAGAGAAGCACCTCCAAGTCCATCAAAAACCCGCAGTCATCTGATGTAAAGCACCACCGCTCCGTCTGAGACACCGTCTGCCGTGGCTTCTCCGGCGTTAAAGGCCCCTTAGGTCACTGAATGGAAACGCAGATAGGGGTTTTCCCTTCCTTGGAACATAAGGAAGTGGAAGGTCCTCTATCAACCCTCTATCATTATTTAAAAAATTGTACTGACACAAGAATGCAAAAAACCATGACCCACAGCTCTAGGAGACAGGCTTCTAGGTTGTTTTTCAAGGAGACCCTTGGGCTGCGCTGGTGGGGAGGGGGCGGCAGCAAGGTGCACCAGACAGCCTCCGCCAGTCCCTATCCGCACGGCGCGGGTCCTCCTCCAGCTGAGACAGACGGGTGCGCGGCTTTAAGAAATCAGTGACCCCAGCTCGGAGGCTGGAGTGAAGCGCCAAGCTCAGCTTCGCCTGCCACCCAGTGGCGCCCCAACTTGCCAAACGTGACCTCGACCGCTCTCGCAGTCCTCAGAGGACCATCCCCGCCCCGGGTGCACCTCGACTCCTGTACACATCTGGTCCACTGCCAGCGACTCGGGCCGCCAGAGCGGCCCAGGGGCTCCATCAGGGTAGGGCAGGCTGTCCCAGCATCACCCAGTCAGCCACGAGCACCCTCGTCCTCACATTCGAATTCGGAGGTGCCCCAATTTGAGAAATTCAAAATATTTCAAGTAAGACAAGTCACTCGGACAGGGGAATGCAACCTTCCCTGCCGTCCTCCACTGTCCTTGGGCCCCTCTGGGGCCAGGAGAAGGCAGCAGGCATCAGAACGAGGCACGGCATTAGCTGAAGCCAACTTTGGGCTCCCAGGAGCGGCGGGACCGCTGAGCCACGCATGCCTTTGACTTCAGGGCTCGTTCCCAGATTAAGACTGAAGACAGATGTGCAGCAGGGTCCCTGGGGCTTCAGCAGGTGGCATACAGCGAGAACAGTTTCCAAAGATTAGAAATGACCCAAAAAATAGCTACCACTTACTCAGCACCACCAGGACCCAGACACGTGTCAAACACGCTGCCTTACCTCACTGGCACACCTAGTCGGCCGCGCTAACCCAGCCACGACAGAGTCCCCACTTCCGACCCTGGTACCGAGGCTACTGTACTGTGTTTGTTAGAAGCTCCGGGAAAGACGAACGAGAAGACAGAATCCACTTCGACAACCTTCACCAGCAGGGATCTAAAACCCACTGGTGCTAGGGTGCCTGCAGGGAACCGGCAGGCGGCTCCACGAAGGCTAGACAAGTAATAACGCGTGTTCGCCAGACACCGTAAACGAGATCTGTGCAAGGCACAATTTCCTGCAAATATCGGGACCACATTCACGTCTGGTCTATTTTCTCCACGTGACAGATGAGGACATGGAGACAGAACTGCCCGAAGTCAGGGGAAGCTATGGAGCCACACTCCTGCTCCACACAATGAAAAAGGACGCAGTCTTAGACCCTACCTGTCTTTCTCTGCGGCACAGCCGTGCAGGAGGCATCTCCAAGCGAAAGCGAAGCCTTGATAGCACCCAATCTGTGAATTCACAAAAAAGTGAAGACGGAAATTAATAAGCAAGAAGCTACATTCCATCTAACTGTCGCGCTCTCCAAACTAAAGGTGGGGACCCAGGGCAGTGGTGCTTCTCATGCTGCGGTTCTGGAAGCACGTGCTGGGCATCAGACCCCGGAAGTCAGGTGGCCGAGCCTTCAGTGGGGCGACGGCCTCCCTGAAGGTCCCCTGGCTCCGCCCCCGGGTCTCATGCCCCGTGTGGTCCCCTCTAACCGCAGCTGTAGCCAGCAGAACACAGAGGAGGCACAGCGTGGCTTCTGAATTTAGGAGTAGCAAACATCACCCCTGCCATCGCTGGCCCGTGTCACGGCCGCTCCAGCAGCCCTGCGGGGGTGCACGCGGCAAGAGCAGTGGTGAGAGTGAACGGTGTCCGGAGTGGCTCTCCCAGCCGCAGGCGAGCCTTCGCATGGCCGCAGGCCTGCCTCCTGCCCTGGCGGTGCGGAGCCAGAAGCACCCAGTCCAGTGTCTGTCAGAGTCGCCCGCAGCAGACATCTACCGCAGTCCTGAGGGCCCCCCAGGCTCTGCCGTTCAGAGCCGGTCTTCCGGAGTGAGGGCCCATCGAGAGGGAAGGGAAGAACGACCACGGACTCCGGAGGACTTCGGTGGGAAGGGGTGACCCAGAGCAAGGATTCAGGAAGCGGAAGCACCGTGATCCGCCGGCGCAAGCTGAGATGGCCGAGGACCGGCTCTCTCGTCCCCCAGACCACACCACCTTCTCTGTAGCAGGCACACCTCGGAGAGGCGGGCTCGGTTCCAGGCCGACTGCCAACAGATGAACTGCTTGGCTTCCCGGCGCACGGGAAAGTTACGGTTGCGCCACACGGTACTCTACTCGGCGAGACGGCCCTGGGTCTGCAGACCACTGCGCGTACCTTCAGCAGAAAATACTTTATGGCTAAAAAGCACGGACCATCGTCCGACGCTCAGCAAGCCGTCACCACGGGTCCCACATCACAGAAACAAATATAATAATCCTAACGAAAAGGTCTGGAGCGACGCAAGAGTCAGCGAGGTGTGACACAGAGACAAGAAGTGAGCAAATGCTGCTGGAAACACGGTGCCGACGGGCCTGCCTGGCAGAGGCGCACAGACTTTCCACCTGACAACCTCAGGCTACCTGCGGAGCTGGGGCGAGCTGTGCGGGCGCAGCAACACGCCCTGTCCGTCTGGGTGAAGGACGCTGCCCCAGCTACACTGTCCAGTCCGGAGCGTTCCGAGAGGCCGGAACACCTGGCTCTGCCACACTGACCGTCGCCGGAAATTATAAACTATGAATGAAGAAGATTCATTTCTAAAAATTGGCGGGGGGGGGTCCCACTTACCTCAGATCCAATTCTGGCTCCATGCAACGTGCCATACTGTCTTCCTTCAATTATACCCAAACTGTTGCCTTCTTCGTAGCCTTCCTGGTAGCCTTCCCCGTGAAACCTGTGATGGAGAGGCAAGCTTGACCAAAGAAACAGGAGAAAGACTGTTTTTCCTGGAAGAAATTTTCTCTCCCACAGACCCCAGACTCAGCAAGAGACACAGTATAGAAGAAACCGCACTGAATGTAAGTCAGAAAACGGAGGTCACAACCCCAGCTCTACCCCCTGGAAGCCCGATCTGCCTCTTCTACAGCGAGGAGGGGGGGGTGGGGAGCCAAATTCATGAATCCCACACCTGGGAGGACACCAGAAACACAGGGAAGTTTTAGAGACACAAATTCGAGGGCTGGGCCCCCGACACCCAGTCAGGAGGAAGGCCCGGGAGCGCTTTCTGAAACCTCCTAGGAGAGTCCCGTGTGTAGCCAGGCCAGGGAGCCAGCGCTCTGTGAGTGCGACCTGCACGACAAGAAGTGCTTCCCAACACGGTGCCACCCACGCGGCCTTCCATCTCAGCTCTGTACCCGGGAAGGGAGAAACGCCACCGGATCACGACAAAGTACACGCAGGCAGCGGTGCCCGGCATACAGGAACGGCTCGGGCTCTGCCGGCGCAACAGGGGACGTGGGACCATCTTAACCTGAAGTCACCACAAACAGAAGAAGTGGGACGGCGCCCCGCACGCAGTGAGGCCGTGTACGCTCCCACTTACTGGCGATGCGCCCCGGGGAGTGATCCTGCCTCCCCGTCTGTACAACACGCTGCATCACAGACCCTGACTCACAGCGCTACCACCGTCTACCGAGCTCGCTGGTGGGCTCACACAAAGCTCGAAATAAATGTCAGCGGCTGGCGGTTAAACGCTCGCTCTCTTCCACGACTGAGGCCTATTGATGTGTCAAGTGGGCCGGGCACTGGAGGGGGGTCCCCACCGTCACAGCCCCGGGCACTCCCCAGGGGCCCCGGAGGCAGGGGGATGGCGTCTGACACATTTATCAGCATGTCCGTGAATGCGGCCGTATGTCCCGCCACGAAGGAACAAGGAAAAGGGGCAGCGCCCAGATGGCAAAGGTCCGTCCCACCCAAGTACGGGGCGTCCCCGGAGGAAGGCGGGCATCAGGCCGAGCAGATGCTCGGGGCCGCCCCGGACCGGGAGGCGGGTCTGGGGGAGCAGCTGGGCACGTGCCGCGCCGCCGAGGAGGAGGAGGAAAGCAGCCGCTCCGGCACTTCGGCCCCACACGCGTCCGTGCCCGCCGGCGGCCCAGGGCGCCCCCCACCCGACGCCCGCTCCCGCGTCGCACCAGGTCTGCGCTGCCTTCGCAACCGAAGAAAGACGCCGGCCCGGCCCCGCCACCCACCTTTCGTCCGCCATCACGATGGCGTCGAACATGTCTTGACTCCCCGCCATGGCGGCTCCCGGCCCGGCTCGGCCCGGCTCGCCCTGCCCCTCGGGCTCCGCCGCCCCGCACGGCAGCCGCCCCCCGCGAGGCCGGGGCTCCCACTCACCGCTTCTGCGGAGGCGAGGCCACTTCCGGGGGGCGGCGGCGCGGGGCAGGCCGGGTAAGGACGGCGCGCCGGAGGGCCCAGCCGGCGCCGCGGAGGCCCGGACGCATGCGCGCCGGGGGCGGGGCCCGCGAAGTCGAGACACCTTTGCCAAAAAAAAGGGTTGAAATTCTAGGTGGGGCGTCCAGGTGAGCGTGCAGGGGCCGTCCTTTCACAGGAAGAGCCCGGAGGAAATCAGGAAGGGAAAACCGATATATTTCACTACGTGCAAATGTAAACTCGCGCATGCCCAAAGTGGGGATAACATTAAAAGGCCAGGAACAATCTGGAGGTGTGTTTGTCCTAAATATCACAACTAAGGCAATAATGTGTGTGGTTTATAGAGAACTTGCTATAAAGGATAAGCAATGAGTGCATCCTAACAGGGGCGAAGAGATGGGCCAAAGTTTGGAGGGCGGAATTCACGGTCAGGCGGGCAGAGTGGAGAAGGGGGTGTGTGTGCCCATGACCTTGGAACTTCACCTCCGGGACGTCCTCCCGCGTTCGCTGCAGCACCCACTGCACGTGCGCCCCGCGGACTCCAGCAGCGCCCAACACGATGTAGGAGGCGAAAGGAAGGTCATGGAAAATGCTCCTGATGTTCAAGGAAAGAAAGTCTATGTATCCTCCCAGTCCAACCACATCACACAATTACTCTTTTAAAAAGAATGAAAGTACCCCAAAATGTCCACAGTGACTAGATCTAGATTTTGGAATTACATTAATTTTTAAATGTCCTCTTTTATATGTTTTCTGAGTGGTCCATGTTTTATGATCCTTAGGAGCATAAAAAAGCCCCATAAGACATTTTTTTTCCCACAGAAGATGAAATTAAATAGACTTTGTATATTTTGTTCGTTAAATATCTTTTCGTTTTTAGGTCGGGTTTTTTTTTTTTTTCTTTTTTCATCAGCAGATAAAATCACAAAACATTTGGGATGTAGGTAAAAGGGAAAACAAGCAAACAAATCCACTTTCCCACCCCTCTGGCCACCAATTAATTTTTTTTAAAGATCTGGTATATTTCTTTTAAAAAAGATTATTTATTAGAGAGAGAGTGCATGAGAGAGCACATGCATGCAGGGGTGGGGCAGAGGGAGAAGGAGAGAATCCCAAGCCGACTCAGTGCTCAGCACAGAGCAGATGTAGGGCTCCATCCCAGGACCCCCAGACTACGACATGAGCTGAAACCAAGAGAGCTCAACGCTTAACCAACTGCACACCCAGGTGTCTGCCACCAGTTAATTTTTGCTAACCTTGTTACATTTTTTCCCTTTGCATTTTCTCACAAAAATAATCATATATGTACAATTTTATACCCTTACCCCCGCCTACTAATGAGTTAATGAAAGTTAACATTATATTACAAAAATGTCCCAAGTAAGGGAATGGTTCTCTCGTTATTACATATATATAAAATAGATTTTTTTTAACATAAACCTCATCGGTTGAAAGAAAACGAAACAAGCTGTTTCTTTCGGCATGGGAGTTAGTATGTGGTGGAGAAACAGGCCAGTACAGGATAAAACCCTTGGATATAAAGATATATACAGGGGCGCCTGGGTGGCTCAGTTAGTTAAGTATCTGCCTTCACTCAGGTCATGATCCCAGGGTTCTAGAATGAGCCCTGAGTCTGGTTCCCTGCTCAGTGGGGAGACTGTTCCTCCCTCCCACTTGTGCTCTCACTCTATCAAATAAATAAATAAAATCTTAAAAAAAAATAAAGATGTATATAGAAGAGTAGAGTCCTAATTTCAAACCTTAAATAGCTGCAGAATTTTGAAAGATTACATGTGCTACAAAAACCAACAGTATTGATTCAAACTATTGTGTCCAAAATAAAGCTTTGGCGAGATCTTCCCCCAATGTGTTCCATGGTTATGTTCCTAAAATACTACCTTGAACCCAGATTGTTTTAACATTGAAGGGTAAAAGATTCGCTGCGTTATCTTGGATTTTCAATACTTGTTCACAAATTGCTTCCTTTTCAAATAGGCATCAGACTTTTAAAAAGAGGGACTCCAAGGTAGGAAAAGGGAATTTTAACATACAAATATAATTTATTTCAAAATCCTTAGATAAGTTTCAAATTCGGTGTCCTTTTTAGCAAATGAATTCATTGAAAAGTAGGTAGAAAAACTCTGAATTAGTATTTCTCCTTATTATCTTAGTTTTTTGAGAAAATGTTCTGATATTTGCTTGTGTAGAGATCTAAGGAACTGGAATTCCGGCATTTAATTGAATAGAATTAAGAAATGATAAATGTGTATAGGTATAATGAAGCCAAAAAGGTTTTTCAAAGGTATAGAGCTTTCTACGTTTCCATGTTTAGGATCTCTGAAGGCTGCCTTAATTGTACTTACTCCAATGACTTCGATACACTATTAAATATTTAATTGATAAAAAAGGTAAAAAGGGGATGATAGAATCAGCTCCTGGAAATCGACCATATCAAATAGAATACACTTCAAAAACATGTAATGTTTCATGTATTCTTGTTCAAGTTCAAAGAGAACCAAATTGACATAACTCAAGTGAAAAACAAAATTCCTCAAAGTTCATTGTGAAATATTCACTTATGGAATTGACCTTTTTCTTTTTTTAATTTTACATGCATCCGCCGCCAAATACTCAGCAGCCTGCAAAACGAAACAAACCTGAACCTGTCGATCTACACTGCCAACCCAGAATCACACCCATTTTATTAGCGAGCTAAAACCAAAATGTGCCGTTTGTTCCTGTGGTGGTTAAAGAAAACTGCGGGTCTCTCAAAATTTAAACATATTCAACATATGTTTAAAAATAATCTGCAAGGGGGGCGCCTGGGTGGCTCAGTGGGTTAAAGCCTCTGCCTTCTGCTCAGGTCATGATCCCAGGGTTCTGGGATCGAGCCCCGCATCGGGCTCTCTGCTCGGCAGGGAGCCTTCTTCCTCCTCCCTCTCTGCCTACTTGTGATCTCCGTCTGTCAAATAAATAGATAAAATCTTTAAAAAATAGTAATAATAATCTGCAAGGGTAGGGCCCTATCCTGTCGCAGATTAATTCTGTCCTTAGCTACAGAGCTGGAGGGCTCATTTCTGGCTAATGGACTGATGAGATTTTAAGTAATCTTTCTTCTCCTGTAGGTGTTTCTGTGTTTGATTTTCTCCTTTAATCATGGAGGAAAAATGCCTTTCATAATCAGAAGGGAGAAAAAAAGAAGTGATTTCAAATTCTTAAAAGGAAGTCATTAGATGACAACTTACTTCCAGGAAATAACTCTTCCTCCTAGTCTGTATTCACCAAAAATAAATGACAACACAACTGGAAAAAAAAAAAAAAAAGAGGCATCTGGGGGCTTTAACATCCCAGTGTGACTCCCTGGGAAGGGAGAGAATCCAAGGATTGGGTCCCTTGCAGACTCTGGAGCTAATTCCCCTCCATTCCCTCCCCAAAGTGGAGCTCTGGGAGCCTGCAAAGAAGGGCTACTTTCTTTTTTTTTTCTCTTCCTTTTTAATCCACCATTTTAATTAAGTTTTTTTTATTTCCAATATAGTTAACATACGGTATAATATTAGTTTCAGGTGCACCATATAGAAATTCAACACTTGCCTACATCATCCCACACCATGTCCCATGCTCATCACAACAGGTGCTCTCCTTCGTCCCCATGACCTACTGCCTGCCTCCCCCCACCCACCTCCCCTCTGGTTACTGTCAGTGTGTTCTCTGTGGTTAAGATTCAGTTTCTTTGTCTCTCTCTTCTTTTTTTTTTTTTTTTTTTTTGCTCATTTGTTTTGTTTCTTAAATTCCACATATGAGGGGCTCCTGGGTGGCTCAGTGGGTTGAAGCCTCTGCCTTCAGCTCAGGTCATGATCCCAGGGTCCTGGGATCGAGCCCCGCATCGGGCTCTCTGCTCAGCGGGGAGACTGCTTCCCCCTCTCTCTGCCTGCCTCTCTGCCTACTTGTGATCTGTCTGTCAAATAAATAAAATCTTAAAAAAAAAAAAGAAAGAAAAGAAAACATTTAAAAAAAAATTCCACATATGAGTGACGTCCTATATGGGGCACCTGCGTGGCTCCGATCGTGATCTCAGGGTCCTGGGTTGGAGCCCTGCATCGGGCTCTCTGCTCGGCGGGCAATCTGCTTCTCCCTCTCCCGCTGTGCTCTCTCTTTCTCTCTCTCTCTCAAATAAGTAAATAAAACCTTTTTTAAAAAATGAGTGAGATCCTATAGTACTTGTCTGTCTCTGACTTACTTCACTTTGCATAATACTCTCTAGCTCCATCCTCATCGTTGCAAAAGGGAAGGTTTCTTTTTAATACTTTATTTCATTTTTGTTTATTAATTTGAGAGAAAGAGTGAGTGAGTGAGAGAGCACGGGAGCAGGGGCGGAAGGAGAGGGAGAAGCAGATTCCCTGCTGAGCGGGGAGCTCTACGTGAGCTCAGTGAGGATCCCAGGATCATGGCCTGAGCCGAAGGCCAAAGCTTAACTGACCGAGCCCCCCACGCGCCCCGCAAACGGCAATAGTTCGTTCTTTCTTATGGCTCAGTAATATTCCTTTGCGTATATACACCACCTCTTCTTTATCCATTCATCAATCAGCGGACACTGGGGCTGCTTCCGTAGCTTGGCTGTTGTAGATAGCGGGGCTATAAGCGTTGGGTTGCATACGTCCCTTTGAATTGGCATTTTCCTATTTGGGGGGGGTAAACACCCAGGAGTGCGATTGCTGGATCACAGGGCAGTTGTATTTGTAGCTTCTGGAGCAGGAAGCTCCGGATATTAATAGGATGTTATCCAGTGCGCCTTCCTGGAGGGGGGGCCACTTTCTACCTGCCCACTCGGGAATCTCTTGGAGCCAAATGACGGGAGACCTGCGGTGGGGACTGGGGGTCTGGCCCCAGTTGTGACCAGTGACCAAG